GAAAACTTGAAACTCTATGAAAGATTAGGAATAAAAATAACAAAAATTCATAGAGGGATAAAGTTTGAAGAAAGTGCTCGAACTCAATACAGATCTAAGAACAAAAGCTACAAATGACTTTGAAAAAGACTTTTTCAAACTTATGAACAATTCAGTATTTGGAAAGACAATGGAGAATATTGAAAACAGAGTTGATGTAAGATTAGTTTCTAAAAGAGAAGAAGCTATTAAGTTAGCATCAAAACCAAATTATGAAAGTAGAACAATATTTGATGCTAATTTAATAGCTATTCATATGAAAAGAACAAAACTATTTTATAACAAACCCATTTACTTGGGTATGTGTATTTTAGATTTGAGCAAAACACTAATGTATGAATTTCATTATGATTATATCAAAAATAAATATAGAGATAAAGCTAAACTATTATATACAGATACAGATTCATTAATCTATGAAATAAAAACAAAAGACTTTTACGCAGATATTGCAAATGATATTGAAAGTAAATTTGATACAAGTGAATTTAATAAAGATCATCCAGCTATTCAAAATGGATTTAAAGTAGGTGTAAATAAGAAAGTAATAGGAATGTTTAAAGATGAGTCAGCAGGAAAACAAATTACAGAATTTATTGGACTCAGATCAAAGTTGTATTCTTACAAAATAGATGAAGAAGATAAAAAGAGATGTAAAGGAGTAAAAAGAAATGTAGTAAAAAATTATATTACACATGAAGATTATAAAGACTGCCTTATAAATAAGAAAGATCAAATGAGAAAAATGAATGTCATAAGATCTCATTGTCATGATGTTTATACTGAAGAAATAAACAAAATAGCATTGAGTGCAGAAGATGATAAAAGAGTAATTCAAGAAGATGGTATTCACACATTGGCATATGGGCATTATAAACTTAAATAAACAGGCAAGCAGGCAGGCAAACACACAGGTAAGTTATTTTTTATATCTAAAGAGATCTAAAAAAATCTAATAAAGTAATAAAAATGGACAAATATATCAATGTTGAAGGAATCATATTACCCAATGAAGCCTTAACAAACTTTCAGTTAATAAAAGCAGCAAAAAAATTAAAAATTAAAAATTTTAGAGGTGTATTTGTAAGAGATGAATTACCTAAAAATACACAAAACAAAGAATGTGGAATATTAAATACTGGAGATTCAAGTACGAGTGGATTTCATTGGATTTGTTGGTATAAAGATGGAGAAGAAAAGTTAAGTTTTGATTCTTATGCACTACCACCTCCAGTTGAACTTGTTCAATATTTACACAGTCCTGTTTATTATAATAGTAAAAGAATTCAGTTTGGAGACACTTCTTTTTGCGGACACTTGTGCCTTTATGTATTAAAAAAGCTTGATGAAGGTGTTGATTTTCAAAGTATTGAAAACTCATTATATTGAATTAAAAAAAATATGTATAGTATATAAAAAATGAGTATGAATATAGCCGGTAGTAATTCATTATATGGTTACACAACAGATGGATTAAATATCAACATTAATGTTGGCAATACAGCCACTACTGATGTTGATTTGAATTCACATAAATTGATCAATGTAGCTGATCCTACAGATGCACAAGATGCAGCTACAAAGAATTATGTAGATAATAATCAGATTTCTAGTAGTGCATGTCTAAAATTAGATGGAACTAATAGTATGAGTGCTAATATAAATTTGAATTCACATAAATTGATCAACGTAGCTAATCCTACTAATGCACAGGATGCAGCTACAAAGAATTATGTAGATAATAATCAGATTTCTAGCAGTTCCTATCTAAAAATAGATGGAACTAATAGTATGAGTGCTAATATAAATTTGAATTCACATAAATTGATCAACGTAGCTAATCCTACTAATGCACAGGATGCAGCTACAAAGAATTATGTAGATCGCTTAATTCCTTATCAACATAAATATAAAGTTTTGATTATAGCTGGTCAATCAAATACATATGCTGGTAGAGAATGGGGTTTATCTCAATCAATAACTAATGTAAATTATATGAACAGACGAATAGTCCAATTTGCGATGGATAATGGACAAAATGATGTGTTACTTCCTTGTTCATTGAGGCTAGATGTAAATGAAACAGATAATAAATGTTGGGCAGGATATGGCTCAATACTTGCTGGGCTTATAATGCAAGATGCTGAAGGTGCGAATACATTAAATATGATAAATCCTGATGAATGTTTAATGATACTTCCATGCATGCTAACTGCTAAAAGTTTCAGTAATGATTATTTTATGCCGTATGGAACTGGTTTTAAAGATTTAACTCGTAGAATTAATTACATTTCATCACATTATAACGCAGAGTTTTGCTGTATGACTTGGAGTCAAGGAGAAGACGATTCTATAACTGGTTGGTGTGATAACTATGCATATATTCTAATGAATTTTATACAAACCATTAGAGATTATATTGCATACTCATCAAACCAGTTTGATACATTGCCAAACTCACAAATAAAAACAAATAAAATGCTATTCATTACATTTCAAATGCTATCTTCATGGGTTCAAGCAAACTCAACTACAGCAACTCAAGTTCAAAATGCATTAGGAAATATTATAAATTATTCTCCATATACAGCTAGTATATCTCTAGATGGTATGCCTCCCAGTCTTAGGAGTGCAAATTTCGATGGAGTACATTATGATTCAAGACAACAAATATTTTTAGCAAACAAATTTTTTGAAGCAATACCAATTGCAATGAATAATATATATGGTGGTGGTTATGGAACACCATATAATTCTGGAGAAGTATTATTAGTTAGACAAGTTGCTGGATATTTATTTCTTAACAATTATTATAGTGCCTATAGAGTATTTAATTCTACTCCATCTACTGCTCAATTATATAGTTCATTATTTACTAATTGGCAGTATAAAAACAAAGATGGCTATTATAAATATAGACTTAAATATAAAATTAATGGTGTATGGAATAGTATTATATTTAAACAAGCATTCCTTCCAATGATGTCTATGGCTTACCAAAATGTTGCACAACTCATATCAACAGATACACCATTTGGATGTACAGAATTAGGACAAGGATTTTGCGGTTTAAATTTGACAACTACAAAAAGCATGATGAATTCTGGAGCAGTACTTACACTAGATACAAGTGGTGGTTATTGGGCACCTGTATGTCAAAATATGAACTATGTATATAATGGACAACCTGCTATGCCTATATTTGATAATTATATACAAAATAGTACTCTTCCATTTGTAGCAACAGAACTAGAATTATATGCTATAAGAGACCCTATATAATATTGTTAAGACAATTCTACTATGCTTAAATAAATCCCAGCGCATGCGCACAGATCAGAAAGATCAATTAGCGAACAAGAGCAATCTGCGATAGCAAGAAAAAAAATTGAAAATAAATTTCTTTACATAAATTATAAGAAATGGATTGTACAAGTAAAGATGTAGATATTAAATTTACAAGTTATAAAAGAAGATTAAGTTTAGCTTGTTATTTGCAAAAACAATTTAAATTACAATATGAAAAGTTAGAAAAGGAAAGATTAGAAGAAGAAAAGTTAAAAACACCAGATAATATTTATTATTAGAAAAAGTCATGTGACGTCACAGCAAGAAAAATCACGTGACATTTTCCGACAAGAAATAAAAAATTAACGCTTATTTTAAAAAATTCAATTTTTTCAAATTTATATAAATTTGAAAAATTATTTCTTATATAAATAATTATTCACATCATGGTTAGAAATGAACCCTATATTTTTTAAAATATATGGTTGAAAATATGGTTGAAAATGAAAATGGCTTAGAACCGGCAATCTCTTACTACTCATAAAGGCGTTTGAGATGGTTTAAGTAACTATTTCAGAAATTCAGACTCAATCACGCAATTTTGATCAAGTTAAGGTGGCTGCAGACCATTTTATTAATGTGCCCGCAACCATTCTTGACGAGAAAGAATATGATTGTGTTATACAAACAGATATGCCAATGGTACGCAAAAGAATAAGAAAAGTAATGCCAGGAGAATTAGCAAATGATGATCCACTTACAGATTCTTTAGAAAAGTTTGAAGTAGAGGTCCACAATGGTATTCTAGACACAGTGTTAAGAAGTCTGTCGACTAAAGCGACTGCGGCCCTCTAAAGAAGTGTTGCTCGTGCATTTACTGTTGCTACCATGTGCTTTGAAAATATAATCTTTACGGCAAGAGCTACTGCATGCTGCACAGGGCTTACAAATTCATGCTCACAATTTCAATTACCCAAGTGGCTTGTGAGAGGAGTTTCAGCAAGTTGAAATGTGTCAAAACAAGAAGTCAGTTGACAGAAGATCACTTGGACTTACTGTTGATGATGTGCATTGAAAAGGACATATTGAGTAACATAACCAACGATAAAATTATTGATGAAGTTGCTAAATCGAGTGGTGAATTAAAAAAGTTACTGCTTTTATGATTTTTAGTTTTTGTGATTTAAATATGAATTTATAAAACAAATATAGCACAAGTACTTAAATGACATCTTTATTGATTTTAAACAAGTGTATACAAGTCCTTATTGTTCAATAGTTTTACAAAAGTATTTAAAAGTGAGGGGTTACAAGCGAATACGATTTAAAAATAAAGGTCACTTGTAGGGCCTTTTTTATGATAGCATTTCCCGGGCCTTTTCAAAAGCCTAATCCGCCCCTGACTATGCTATATATATATATATATATATATATATATATATATATATATATATATATATATATATATATATATATATATATATATATATATATATATATATATATATATATATATATATATATATATATATATATATATATATATATATATATATATATATATATGTTTGTTATATAACAGAGCAATCCCACTCTTTATTAATGATTTTAGCGCTCTTGGCCAGAATTAGGATGTGGCTGGAAATATGTCACATAACCCCAAGTTTTATTACTAATTTTTTTCCGAGGAACTCGCGTTTCCTAATCTTAAGAGAAACTTCGCAAAGCATAAAATGGCGGCTTGTAATATCGATAAAAAAAGTCACTTAACTTCAGGCTGTGTGGTTATATGTAAAACTAATTTAGGAAAAGAATTCGAAGGTGAAGTAATTTGTTATGACGAAGAAACAAAAGCTTTGGTTATAAGTATCTTTTTCCAAATATCTTTATATTAGATTACTTAAAATAAGTTTTAAGTAATCTAATATCAAAATATTATTTCAGTCCTTGATTTAAATCTTTTTTTGTTACAAAAAATTATAATTAATTTTAATAAAAAATAATTTTAACACAAAATTTCTTTGCTTTTGTAATTTTTTTCAATTGAAGTTATTAGTTATTAGAATTAGAGGAGGTGTTATAGCTAATAAAAAAAAATCATAATTTAATGGTTTATATATTATAATTATACAAGCTAAAGTAGAGTTCGTAGAGTTAAGAATATAAGTTGCCTATATTTATTTAAAGTTTTTAGTTAAAAGTTGATTCTAAAACAATAACAAAGCAAAGTATGCATAAGAATTAGCAATCCAACTAAAAAAAAATTTATAAGGAATATTATTCAGAAATAAAACAAAAAAAGTTGTATGTACCATTTCCTGTGAAAAACCATAAGCTCAAGGGTAAAATAGTAATAATAATATCCTTATAGTAAGTTATTCTAATCTATTAAACCAAAAGAATAATTTACTGCTTCCTTTAAATTAGATTTCATGGAAATATTTGATTAATATACACACTTCATTTGCAATCATTTGCGCTCAAATTGTCATTGTTTATGTAAAAAATTTGATGATGCACAAGTTTTCAATTTGTGCTGATATAAAATGTTTTGAAAATAAAAACAATGACTTTAAAAATAGTTTTATAATAAAAAAAAAAAAATTATTATAGAATTATTTTTATTTTTATTATAAAACTAAATACATATAAGGGGTTGTCCATTACTTGTCAACAAAATAGGGGGAGGGGGGATCTGAACTTTTTTGACAGTTATTGACAAGGGGGAGGGGGAGGTCAATTAAAGTTGATGTCAGCAATTTTTTTTGTGTTTTATTGCTTAAATAATAGAAAAATTTGTAGTGTAGCTTTTTTGTATAGGTAGGAGGAGTTAAAATTGACGTAATTTTATAAAAAGGGGTCTCTAGAAATTTGACAAATTGTTGACAAGGCAAGAAGGAAGTTAAAAATTTTAAAAAATTTGTTAACCTAATTAATGGACAGCCCCTAAATGTAACATTTATTGATTTATCATATTTAATAAAAATTATTATTATTTAAAAGGTTGTTTATTAGTTTGTGTATATATATAACAGATTAGAATGCTATATATGTACATTCCATTTCAAATCATTGCTAAATATCTTTACTGTGATACTACCACCTAGTAAAGAATTGCTCCTCCTACCCTTACCCACAATTGTATCAAAGACTTATTTCTAGTTGAGTTGTTTTTATCAAGGCTAAGGACATTTTATATATATATATATATATATATATATATATATATATATATATATATATATATATATATATATATATATATATATATAATATATATATATATATATATATATATATATATATATATATATATATATATATATATATATATATATCTGGAAATGTCTTTTTCCGGAATTTCTAAAATTTTTCTCCACCTATAATTTTCTGAATATTCAAAATATTTTCCCTACATACAAGTTTTGGTATATATTCTTGTAATATATTTGTTTTTTAAGCTTTTTTATTCATTATTGATACAAAAATTAGAAACATCTCAGCTAAAAGCAAAATTAAGATAAATATAAGGGAATATAGATTCCAAATTTTTTCAGGATATTTTACCCAAACAATTTTCTTGATTTTTAAAATATGACTTGGATAGTTAATTATATATATACTAGCAGTAAGCAACCCGTAATATGGGATGTTAGTAAATAAAATAAAAAAAAAAAACCCTGCGTATATAAAAGTCTAGAAACTACTTTAAAATAGAAAAACCTAGAGAATGGCGTAAGTTGACTATTGCTACTATTAAATTAGCGTATTAATATTATCAGATATATATATAATATTATTATTATTATATATATATATATATATATATATATATATATATATATATATATATATATATATATATATAATATTTTGATCGAAGGGAATTAAATTCTACAAAATTAATACTTTAGTGTATATATATATATATATATATATATATATATATATATATATATATATATATATATATATATATATATATATATATATATATATATATATATATATATATATATATATATATATATATATATATATATATATATATATATATACATATATATATATATAAATTAAAATTAAAAGTAAAGTAAATTAAAAATAAATGAAAAACTTCAAAATTAAACTCCAAGTTAAAATTACTTTTTTAATTACATTTTTAATTGCGTTTAAAATTACATTTTTAATTGCGTTTGAAATAAATTACTTTAAAACTTATCTTTTGAATTCATTATTTTGAATTTATTAAAGTTACGCAAATTGCTTTTACAAATTACTTCTAATGATTGTTTAATAAATTAACAATTTTTACATAAATTATTGAAAAGTGAAAATAAATTATTGAAAAGAAGCTATTTAGAGGAGGAATGTTTATATTATATATATATATATATATATATATATATATATATATATATATATATATATATATATATATATATATATATATGGTTAGAATTCAATAAATACAGCTGCGTATAAACTTTTTTAAATATATTTATATTTTTTCTTTAATATATATAAAAAAAAATATATATATATATTTTAAAAAGTTTACATGCAGCCGTATTTATTGAATTCTAACCATATTTTAGCGTATAACAAGAAAATGACATTCAAAGATTATATATATATATATATATATATATATATATATATATATATATATATATATATATATATATATATATATATATATATATATATAAATATACTATAGTAGATATATATATATATATATATATATATATATATATATATATATATATATATATATATATATATATATATATATATATATAGTCAATTTAAAAAAATATTATAAATAAAAAAAAATATTATAAGTAAAAAAACTTGCTAGTCATTATTATTGCGGTTTTAAAAAAATGATAAAACTTAATGTACTTTCTGAATATAAATATATATTTATATATATATGTATATACATATATATATATATATATATATATATATATATATATATATATATATATATATATATATATATATATATATATATATATATATATATATATATATATATATATATATATATATACCCATATAGTGTAGTCGAAAGAGCGTTTTAATGTAAAAAAAGTCTCTTACGACTACAATTTTAATTACCTCGTCTCTTAAGCTGTTTTTGATTGTCATCGAAATGTCAAAGCAATTAATTTATGCGGAAGTACATTAAATTTAATTGTTTTTTAAAATTTTTTTAAAAAACCGCAATTATAACGACTAGAAAGTTTTTTTTAATTAGTGGTGTTTTTGTTATTGATTTAATAAAAAACATGCGTAAATGTTGCTACATCGACTATCTTATAGCCTGATTCGCAACGGAGTGCTGCTACATCGACTGACAAATAGCCTGACTCGCAACGGAGTGCTGCCACATCGACTGACAAATAGCCTGACTCGCAACGGAGTGCTGCTACATCGACTGACAAATAGCCTGACTCGCAAGGGAGTGCTGCTACAACGACTGACAGATAGCCTGACTCGCAAGAGAGTGCTGCTACATCGACTGAGGGTTTGGTTTGGCCAGGCAGTCTATCAATTAAAAAAAAAAATTAATTTTTAAAACTTTTTCTGGTCTGGTTTATTAACGCGCTCTTTAAAACTACAGTTTATGGGAAACTTTTTTTGATGCCATGCAAGAGACATGCAAGAGTATATATATATATATATATATATATATATATATATATATATATATATATATATATATATATATATATATATATATATATATATATATATATATATATATATATATATATACATATATATATATATACACATATGTATGTATATATATATATAAATATATATATATATATATATCTACATATATATATATATATATATATATATATATATATATATATATATATATATATATATATATATATATATATATATATATATATATATATATATATATATATATATATACAGGCCTTGCGATGAATAAGAACTGCGCGACGCATAAGCACGACGTGATTTTTGACGTCATTAAATTCTTTTTACTTGCTTTTTATATTTATCGACATTAACTGCACCAATTTACTTTATTACCGCAAAACTTCTTTAAATCATTAATGTAGAAATGTTATTATTTAAAAATGTCTTGGAATGTTTCATTTTTTAAAATTTAAAAACATTTGTTTATTTTCTCGACGTTTGACACGTTTTGTCTATAGTAAAGGAATAAAAAACATTAGTTTTTCAAATAATTATTTTTTCTTTTTAATAAGTCAGAGAGTAATAAACTGGAAATTTTTATAATGTACGATTAAAAACTGTGCAATAGCTAATATTTTTACTAGCGATTTTATATAATATTTTTTTATTTATTTATTTTAATTTATTTTCATAAAGCAGTTGATAAGCACAATCACTCGTATTATTAAAAAACTTTAACGAACGTTTTGAATAGATTTTTAATGTTTACAAGGAATTTTTTTTTTGGTAAATAAAATAAAATGTTAGAATAAAAATCTTTTAGGTATAAAAGAAATATTTCAGGGAAAAAATTATTCCTAAAATTATTATTAAAAATTATTTGAAAAACTACTGACGTTCTTTTTTTTTTCATCTTTTATTGATCACGCTTTGTTGAATTTCGATAACTTTTAACAAAAATGCGGTTGTTATTAATAAAGTAATTTTTTTCAAGTAACTTTTTACAAAAATTTTAATTGAATCAAGTAGAATACGTTTTAATATTAAATCCTTTTATTTTTTTATTTGCGCTTACCAATTTTTAAAATGTTTCCTCGAAATTACTCTTAAATACTTTAAATTCGTCTAACAGTTAATAAATGTTTTTAAATCTATGGAATAATTTTAAAACTTAACAAACCCCCGTAAAATAATTATTTAAGATAAAAATCTAAAACTAAAAGAAAGTATTTTTGTTCAATTTTATTGACAACTTTGCTATTGCTGATTAATTTTATTAAAATGCTAGCTTAAAAAGATTTAAACTTTTTTTTAATCTGAATTTTTTCTACTTGTAACTAATGAGCATATTTATTTTTTTGTAATTCAAACTTTTAGATCAACTGCGTGCGGTTTTTAAAATACTTTATTTAATGTTAAAATAATCGTAAATTACTTCATTAAAATTCCGCTCAAAAATATCTTTAAATATACTCAAACAAAAAATTTTTTGCTCAACGCAAATAGCCCTAGCTACACGCAAAATCGCCCTTGGACGACATAAAACTCACATCGCCCGACGCTTTATTGCAAGGCCTGATATATATATATATATATATATATATATATATATATATATATATATATATATATATATATATATATATATATCAGTGGTGTACACTTGGATTTGGTCAGGCATCTTGCGGGCGACTGAGAGTAGTAATTTGGTCACCCGCCAATATTTTGAGGTATCCATTATTTGATATTTGACGAATATAAAATTATAGTTAAAGTTATTTTTATTAATGATTATTTTTTTAATTTCAGTGGTTATGATATGTTATATTTATTGCAAAAAAACTATTGATGCATTTGTAAAGTAAAAAACGTCTTGGTATTATTATTTGTGCCACACTTTATGCAATTAAAAGTTAAATGAATAAGAATTGGGACTTAAACAACTTTTAAATTAGGTTTTTTAAAAACATTTGAATTAGTGTTTTAAACATCTTCGTATTTTTATTGCACAATTACTCTTTTATAGAGAGAAAAAAAAGATTTTTCATTATTAAAAAATTTTATCTTTGAATAATTGTTCTTTGAAAGAACAATTATTAAAAGATTAAATAGCTTTCAATCAAAGTTTTTTTGATGTTATTCTTTAAAATAAAAGTGTATCATTGAATTTAAACTATTTTTAATAATATAACAATGGAATGTTTATTATTATAAATCTTATAACAAAACTTTATTTATATAGTTAATTTTTTATTATATTAAACAAAACGCTTTCAACAAACATTTAAAAAGTTAATTATTCAATTAAAAGCGTTTTTAATAAAAATTATGTTTTAACATGAGAAATTTAATTTTGTAAAAGCGTTTGCTAATTATTAGCAGTTATGACTTCAAAACATTCAATCTATCTTTATTGATTATGTTACTCTGACGTCAAATGAAAACAAATGCATCAGCAGTCATATTAATTGACATGTGAAGAATAGGAGGAAATCCATTAAGTATTTTTGATAATTGAACCCGTCATTTCGAAAAGGTCACACTTTTTTCGAATTTCACTTTTTAATGCAATTTTATTTATTCAAGTGTTTTACATATTCCCTTAGAAGGAGAAACATTTTCATATGCCACAAGTCAACTTAAAATGCAAATGAAAATTAAAGTCTGTTTGAAAATGGCACAAGTCCCGGACTTATGCCTTTTTCAAGTGAAACGAAGCGCAACTGTAGTGACTTAATCTCACTTTATTTGTAACAAAAATGGAAAATCGTGAGCTTGCTGAAAATGCATATAAATCAAGATAAAGAGTGTTTCGTATAAGAAACAGTGAAAGTATAAACACGAAAAAATTAAAAAAGCCAAAATTGCTGGAGAAGCTTATAAAAACCATAAAGGAAATGATGTGGCACCAAGGCAAACAGGTGCTTCTTGCAGGTTAGTTTTTTATTCTATAATATAGAATGACTATATTCGTTCTCAAATTTTTGCTTATTTACTCATGTTTTAGCACCAATATTTGGAGGTAAAACATCTTGATATATAATTATTATAATATTAACTCAATAATTCTATTTATTTACAGATGTAATTTGAAATGTATGGAGCTTGTATCTGAAGATGTTATAGAAAGTACAATTCAGTTTGTTAACAGATTTGATAGTAAAAATGCCCAAGACACATACTTGCAGTCATTAATTGAAAAGAAGGAAATAAAGAGAAGACGGTTTAGATCTGAAGAACCATTTTTTATACCATAAAATATGTACTAATATTTACATCATGCATTATTATGGCATAATTTCATTTTTATTTTAATTTAAAAATTGATTTGCAATAGGCTGTTGCAGACTTTATTTTATTTATTTTTTTCCTATTTTTATGAGTAAAAGAGTTGGAAACCTTTTTTTTAACTAGACATTAATTAGAGCATGAACTTATTAAAAATTACCATTTTAAAAAGACTAAGTAATTTTTTTAAACAATTTTTTTTGTTGCTATTTTTTTGAAAAAAAAAAATGTTTATACAATTTAAAAATATTACGTACAACACTTTTTAATAAATTTGATAAAATTTGTTCATTTATTAAACAATCCTTAGTAGTAATTAATTTAAAAGCGTTTTTTGTAACTTTAATAAAGCGTTTAAAAAAATTTATTTCAAACTTGATTAAAAACGTAACAAAAAGTTTTGCTTTAAGTTTAAGTTTTTATTTTTATTATAGTGCCTATATGATTTGTTTTTGATAAAGAATTTTTCTTTTTTTTTTTTTTTTTTCGTTAGGAATTTTTTTGTGTTTTGTTTTTCATTGGGAATTTTTTTTTCATTAGTTTTTTTTAAAACTATTTTCCTAGTTTAAGTTTTGCTTAGCATTTCTTCATCCAGCGCATTTATGAAATGTTTAAACCATCAAAACATATAAACAATCGTGGTCAAGTTGTCAAGAAATAAAATCATTTGGTGGTCAGCAATAGCGCTCGATCGCACGCCATTCCTGTCCACGCTAGCTGTTGTTTAGTTTGGTTATGCGAGAAAGTGTAAAGGTTAGCTGTATGAGAGATAGAAAGATTTATTAACTCTTTTATAACCACTTTTGCATACAATCTTTATTAACTCTTTTATAACCTTTTTTATAACCACTTGAAGAAATGGTTTTAAAAGAGCTAAGAGATCACGCGAAGAAGTGCATATAAAAGAACCAAAAAGTTGTTAAGAATTAATAATAAAAATGCTAAAAACCTGGTTTGTTTAAAATTGTTCAAACTACAACATAATGTTAAGTAATGTAAAGAATAATCTTAATCACTTTTAAATTTGAATTCTACAACTTTCTTGCATAAATTAACCACCAAATTGTTTGTAATAAAGTATAGATAACTTTTATACGGAATTTATATTGTTTATTTTTTATTATTGCTAAATTTCGACATGCTCATAAACCATTGACGTATCCAGGAATAATTTGGGCATACCGGTCTAAAAATCCTGTCTATCTTAGAGGCCTTTTTTTTTTTTTTTTTTTTTTTTTTTTACTCAAATTTAAATACAATTATTCGTATATAATGATTTATCGCTAATCGCTACTTTTCATTTACTTGCTCCATACACTTATTTATAAATTAATACTAATTATTAGTTATTAAATTCAAAATATTAAATATTATTAACTAGAAATAAAAAGAGTATGATTTCATAAACAATAACTATAACGTTTAATAAACAATATTTGTATGACTCTTTGATATAAACTTCATAAGATTTATTACATAGCGTATTTAAAACAAGGTAAATTCATTCGAAATTTTAATTCATTCAAAAATTCATAACTTTTTTTTCTAGTTCTACTCTTACTATTCAAATAAAGTTTTTTGGCGCGAATATTAAAATGTTATTTTAATTATTTAAATAAATGTTATTTTAATTTTATGTTTTAAAAACTTTCATTCGTTTTATTATTTAAAGTATTTTACAAACAATTTTTACTGTTGTTTGAAATGAAAAAGTTTAAAACTCATCTAGTTTAATCGCTTCGAAAATAATGTTATGAAAACGTAAGCGGAGGAGAAACTCATATTAATGTATTTTAAAAATGTTATTTAAAAATGCTAAGTGTTTCATATTTTAATCCAATCAAAACGTGCGTTTTACATTTAATCCAATTACAACATATTCTATATTTCATCAACGTGAATTCGAATTAAGCATTTTGGTTGGCTTAAAATACATTTATAATGTATTTTAAGTTTTAAAATACATTTTACTTTTAAAATACATTTATAATGTATTTTAAATGCGACTTTTAAAATACACTTATAATGTACTTTAAAAGTCGTTTTTCAAATGTTGATATTTATGTAATTGTAACAAATGCTAATATAAAACTGTTTTAAATTGAGTTTGGGCTGAAATTTGGGGGCCCATACCGGTATACCGGTATCAAAATCGGCCTGGATACGTTGCTGTAAACATATATACATTATAAACATACAATGATATCACTAATTATCCATAATGCATAAAACATATTAATAAAAGTTACATACTAATTAACAACAATTATTAGTTACTAAAGCTCAATTAGGTATTTCTTAAACTTTTTCGCTAAACAAAAATCAATATTAATTATTCATACAATACACAAATAGTAATTGAACATAATTTTTTTTTGTTAATTTAAAAATCAATAAGTTGATTTTCAAATTAATAAAAAAACTTTTTTTGATTGATTTTTCAGGCAATGTTTCATACAATGCGCAAATAGCTTTAGCATTTTTTTTTATTGATTGATTTTTAAATTAACAATAATTTTTGTCTCAACTTTTTTTAATTTATAGTACTTAAATTAACTAGTGCATAAAAAAAATAATAATTAAAAATATGTAAGTTTTAACTGCTGACTGTTATTATTCTTGCAGCTGTAAATTTATTGTTTCGTTTTTTCATTAATTTTTGAAAAATGATAAATTCTAATATCTTACTTTCTGATCTTACTTTCTGATAAATTCTAATATCTTACTATCTGATCTTACTTTCTGATAAATTCTAATATCTTACTTTCAGAAAAATGATAAAATCTAATAACTTACTTTCTGATCATCAATATGGATTTTGATCTTCTTGTTCTACGGCTGATTTGCTAACAGTCATGACCGATAGGTTTTATCGTGCATTAGATAAAGATGGAGAGGTTAAAGCACTCTTGACATTTCTAAAGCATTTGATAAAGTTTGACATGCTGGTCTTCTCCATAAGCTACCAACTTACGGTGTATCTGGAAACATCCTTAAGATTATTAAATCCTTCCTTTCCAATCGTAGTATAAAAATTGTCCTTGATGGACAACCCTTAAGATTACTTAACAGATTTCTTCTTGTTAAGTAATCTCAAGGGTTCCTCCAGGTTCAATCCTATACTCTTTTTAATTTACATTAACGATATTCTTAAATCAAAGGTGGCATTGTTTGCTGATGATACTACCATTAATTCTTGTCATGATAAAAGTCAACTCTCTCTGATTGCTTGGAGGGGGCATTTGAGCTTGAAAAGGACCTCACTTCTGCTAAAGCAAGTAGCGGTAGAACTTTAATTCTGATGTAACTCTACTTTTTTCAGCCAATCCTTATCGCAATAAATTAGATCTTTTTATAATTATGAACAGTAATGTACTCAATGAGTCATCTACTCTTTATCTTCAAGGGTTAACTCCTACTTCCAATTTTTCTTGGAAACCATATATCAATTCTGTTGCAAAATTAGCATCTGCAAAAGTTACATCTCTCTATCGGGCTTGACACTTTCTTCTATTCTCTATCTCTATAAATCTCAAATCCATATCTGGGTTGCCATATCTGGGGCGGATCTACTAATGATGCCCTTTCTCTTTTAGACAAGGTGCAAAAAAGCATTGTAAACATAGTTGGACCTGCTTTTGCAGACAACCTTTAATCATTATCACATATTCGTAATGTTGCTTCTCTTTCTCTTTTTTACAAATACTTTAACGGGCACTGTTCTAAAGAGCTAGCGTCTCTTGTGCCATCTACTAAAATTCTACTTGTGTTACTTGTCATTTAATTAAGTCTCATCCTTTTTTTGCGACTGTTCCTAAGTTCTCCAAAAACTCATATTCCTCTAGTTTTTTTCCTCAAAAATCAGTTCTTTGGAATTCGCTTTCTTCATCTTGCTTTCCTGATTCATAAAATTTGCAATCTTTCAAGTCATCTGTTGGAAGCGAAGATGTTAAAAAAAAACAAAAACTAACCATTTCATTAAAACAGAATTCACGGTTTTTAATAAACTAAGAATTTAATGACCAGAAATATTTCAGGATATTGCAATTCGTGACCACTTTATTACAAGCCTTATAATATAAATTGTTTATATATATATATATATATATATATATATATATATATATATATATATATATATATATATATATATATATATATATATATTAGGTGATCACATCAAATACATATATTAGGTGATCACATCAAATAAAATCTTTTTTTAGTTATCTACAAAAAATGTTTTATAATAATAACAAATTGGCACTAAAAATTTATTTAAATCTTTATTACTAATATATATATATTAGGGTGTGCCAATTTTAGATTTTTTTTTAAAAAAAAGTTTAATAAAATTTGGGGTATTAGTAAAAGGTGCGAAATTTTATGGAGAATCTAAATCTGTTAAAATTTTTTAAATCAGAAAAATATTTACTTGGGTGATTAGCCTTCTTATGAAATTATTAATGGTTTTTTTTTCCTTTTAAACGGAATAATGACGTTTCCGGACATTACTGTACGTAAAAAAAACAGATTTTTAAGCAATAAAACAAAGTTACATTAAGTTTATGATAAAATCATTTAACTTAATATGTATAAAGTATTTGAAAAATTTTTGTATTAAATGCGTATAATAATTTTTTATTAAAAAAAAATAGTTTACTCAAACATAATTTTTTATCTTAATAATGGTCAGTAAATTAATTTTTTCATTGCCGCATCAAGGAAACAATTGCAAACAGTAAAGTAAACAGCAAAAAGTAAACAATTAAAAACAGTAATGTAAAAATAAAAAACAGTAAAGTAAACCGCAAAAAATAAATAATTAAAAACAGTAATGTAAAAATAAAAAACAGTAAAGTAAACAGCAAAAAGTTAACAATTGCAAACTGCATATTGTTAAATATAAATTTAAGAACATTTAAATAATTGCTTTCATTCCTCAAATATTTTTTAAATATTTTTTTTTCATTACTAAACAGTAATA